GGTGTTTGATAACTGTTGATTGTAGATAAGTTGATTGTTTGATAACTGTTGATTGTAAGCTGCATCATAAACCCGTATCGGATTCACAAGTTCACACATGAAATATGATTTGAAAGCTAAGCTTTCTTTTAATTTTACACGAATAGTGAATGAGTGTCATGAGCCACAGTGCTGACGTAAAATATCCTCAGTGGTTGACGGATCATGGGTTTGAGTCTCTTGCAGTCAGGCTAATCATGAGAGGTTTTCGTGGTTTTCCTCATCATGTAACGCAAATGCTGGTTTCTACCTATTCGTGATACAGGAGATAGCTCGTCTCCCGGATTAGGTTCAAAATGACAAGTCTACGGAGTTAGTCATTAGTAGCTCTAAACTCTAAATTGGGTCGACTCTTCAGGGACGATATTAAAATTATAAAATAAAATATTTTTACTGTGGTAGAAAATAAAAGTTACGATTCGTATTTTTTCCAGATGTTGGGGGAAAAATATTTAAGCGCAACAGTTTATGTTTACTAAAATTTTGTTTATGTTTTATTGGTGAAAAAATGCATAACAGATAAATAAAAATGCATAAATGCTCGGAAATGCATAACAGACACAGCCTTGGGAGAATTTATATTAAAATTTAAAAAAGTAATAATAATCTTTTTCATGCTTTTAATAGAACTGGACGATGTATCGTAAAATGTTGATATTTTTACTTGCCGCGATAACAATGTTAAAAAAAAATGTTAAATACGATTCACATCAAAATGTAGAAAATTGTGATAGCTGCAAGGCGATCACAGTTGGCAAAATGGTTGTTGTCTAATCTCTTTTGGAAAAGAAACTTTGTGTTTTCAACTTGGACATCTTTAATTGTTAATCCTGAACTGCTCGGTGCACGATCTTGCAGGCATATTTAAATACAGCTCAGACACATTCTGTGTAAATTATTTTGATGACTGAATAGACATTGAACAGCCAATCGAGATCAATATAAACATTTTCGGATTGGTGCAATAGTGTTTGGTGGAGATTGTAAGTTGCATCATACACCCGTTTCGGATACCCAAGTTCATACATGAAATATGATTTGAAAGCTAAGCTTTTTTTCAGTTTTACATGAATAGTGAATGAATCATTTACATTGCGTGGAAGACAGTCTCAGGTCTTGCGCAAGTTATTGGGTACGTTGACAATGGATCATTTTATCTCTAACTGGTGATCAACACCCAGTTCTCGTATTTGAATGAAAGGGGTTCAGAGAGTCACCATTCGCTCTTCGGTTGGGTTTAATTCTCTCAACCACTTAGGTCCTTTTTTGAGGGACGGGCTTCATGCTTGCGTTTGCGAACAGGAATCCTTTCGTTTTTCCGTTTGTAACATTAAGAATAATATAACATTAATAACCAAAAAGCCAGTTAAGGGGAATAATTTAAGTGAATTTATCGCATTAGCCGCTTATTATTAATAATAACCAATGAAGCTTGGTCAATATCATTCCTTCCCATTTTTATTGGGGATATTTCCGCATCGTGATCTGCCACGCCAGTTACAATCGTCAAGGCGCCAAATTAATTTGAAACGGGCAAAATTAGAAAAAAAAAAGAAAAAAACATGTGGACGTATTTGCTTTGGGTTGGCTACGAGTTATACCTTTCGAGTTGGTTCCTTTCTGTGATTTTTTTTCCAGTTTATCCTGGATCATTCTGACCAAAAGGAGCGGTTATTTTTAACCGGTTAGTATTAATAATTACCGGAATTTGTTTTTCACCTTGTGAGAAATACGTTTAACTGTTTTACTGTTTAGCTCACAGGCATTTAACTTTTTACTGTTTAACTTTTTTATTGTTCATCTCATACGCTTTTAATTCTTTATATCTTTTATTGCTTGTCTCATTGGTGTTTACCTCTTTTATTATTTAACTCATCGATGTTTAACTCTTTTATTGCTTTACTCATACGTGTTTAATTCCTTTATTGCTTAAGTCATAGTTTAACTCTTTCATTATTTAACTAAGAGGCTTTGTTTAGCTGATAGGCGTTCACCTCTTTTATTGTTGAACTTATTGGCGTTTAATTGTTTTATTGTTTAAATCATGAGTGTTTAACTCCCTAAATGTTTAACTCCTTCATTGTTTGACTCACATAGACACTCAACTCTTTCACAGTTTAAATCATGGCTGTCAAATCTTCTTTTGTTTAACTCATAGACGTTTAATTCTTTTATTGTTTAACCCTTTTCACTACGCGTACTTTAAAATGCTGTTTGAACTAATATAAGGACTAAACCATTTAAAATACACAATACAATATTTTTATATTTTTATAAAATTTTAAAAATTCTTAAAATAATGTGGTTATTATTTAATTATTAAACTATAAAAAGTTTAAATTTGGGAGTGGTGTCAGTAGATGGCGGCATCGGAGTGCAAAGGGCTAAAGTGTTTGAAATGATTACAGTCTCACTAACAGTTAGATACTGGTATGCCAAAGACGGCTAAAATTGTATAAAAATGCAGAAACTCAAATTTTTTTTTATTTATTTATTTAATTTATTTCAGTATTCAATCCTACCTACCATCATAACTTGCATATGAAAATGAGTCACATTTTAAGAGAAAACATTAACTTCTTTCACTTTCAATAGCAAACTGAAAAAACAATGCTAGAAAAAGTAGCTTATTTTAATACATTTTTACTTTTTACTGGTTACCACTTTTTACATTTTTCGTCACTCGTGGCATCCCAGCTGATAAAAATTAGCTTGTTGTTGTTTCTAATGCCACTTGCCAATATCAGCAAGCATTCTTGGTGAAGCCAAGTGAATTTAAGGCAGAGATGGCGTTTCTTGCTTTTCAGTGGTGCCATCTATAGCCAAGAACCAGACTTCAGTCACACACATCTCACAACCCGTTTAAAAGGCGCACCCAATCATACATTCATTCATTCACACATCGCAATTTTGACCTGAACTAGAGAACGATCAATCTCCAATTCAGTGCCTCCAGAGGTATGATTTGTTATGGGAACATGGAGGACTTTGTGACCAGACAGATTTAACGTGCACTAGTAAATCATTTACTACACGGGGAGTCTTCGGCCGCTAGGAATCGAACCCACGAGCCTTTGGACATGAATATATAATAATGACAAATAAATATCGTGGGAGGTTCTCGCGGTCTTCTTTTACATGCAGCGCAAATGCGGGTTAGTTCCATCAAAAAGTTCTCCATGAAGGCAAACTTCTCCTAACACTTGACCCATCAGTTCCCTTGTCTTCTGGGTTATGTTCAAAATTACAAAGCTACGGAGTTGAACATTAGTAGTCGTAAAGCCATAAAATTGGGTCGACTGTTCAACGACGGTTATAAAAAAATGCATCTGAGCTCGATGACTCAGGGGATAAAGCGTTCGCCTCCCAATGAGGCGAACCGGGTTCGAATCCCAGTCGATCAGAATTCTGCATCCGGCTTGCACCAACCACAGTGCTGATGTGAAATATCCTCAGTGGTAGACGGATCATGGGTTAGAGTCCCCTTGCCGTCAGGCTAACCGTGGGAGGTTTTCGGGGTCTTCCTCTCCATGTAACGCAAATGCAGGTTAGCTTCATGAAAAAGTCCTTCACGAAGGCAAAATTTCTCCCAATACTCGATCCAGGTACTCCCTTATCTTCTGGATTGGGTTCAAAATTAAAAGGCTGCGAAGTTGAGCATTAGTAGTCGTAAACCCATAAAATTGGCTCGGCTGTTCAACGACGGTAAAAAAATAAAATAAAATGAATACATCTCTCCGAAACAAAACATGAGTTATTACCTCATAGATAGCTGGTTAAATGTTTTTAATAAGGATCCAGAGTAAAAACATTTTAAAAATTAAATGATAAATTACATAATTTTTTTTTACTTAATATGTATATTATTATTCCTTTCATAATAACTCTTTCCACATTCATTACAGTACGAAAATTCGAGATTTAATGATAATTTATTTATTGGTTAGAGAAAGTGTCTGTTGACTTGATATCGCTTCATAATCATCCTTTCAAAATAGGTGTAATTTTTATTAAAAAGTGAAACAGTGACATTAACATGATTCTATAATTCATATTAATCCTGGTTAGCTAAATATCTGTTAATATTTATTGCTATAATGTTTGTTGATAATATATTAGTTAATTTTTTTCGCAACTCCAATTGTTCGAAAGTGCTTTGCTTAAGTGATTTTTTTGGAAATTTTTTTCTCACTTTTTTTTGCGGCTTTAAATAAAAAAACAATAATAAATTAAAAAAAAAAAATAAGAGAAAGTAATCAGATATAAATCATAAGATTTATATAGAACTTTTTTGAAAATATAAATGCTTTAAGAGAGATAAAACCCGTTTGCAATTTAAACTGTTTCACAAATTAAGGTAATCGTTATAGACTGTAAATAAGTTTAATTACTCCTCATTTATTACTTCATATTTTGGCTTTTTTTTTTAATTACTTCTTATTCATCATTCTTAAGTTTACATTTTTTTTCCATTACAGTTAATTATATTTCAAATCCAAGAAATTATACATTTTGTTATGATTACCATAATAACAAAATGTTCTTACATCAAATAATTATAATTAGAAAAAGAAAATGGTCTTTAAAAAGAACGTGATATTTGAAGAAAATTATAAGAGACCAAAACACGGAAATTGGTAATCAGTGCCTCCTGGTTCCAATAAATTATTATAAATTGCTAAATTACTAGTAAGTTTGAAATTTTCGACATTATTTGACAGAAACAATAACTTAAATTGTGAATATTGTTATTATAATTAAATTTTATGAGTCATTCATAATTTAATATTGCGTATATTCTTATTAAACTTGGAGTTTTTTCATAGTACATAACTAGTAGGATATTAGATATGATAGCAATGATTAAATTTTTAGTACTAGTATTTTTAAAAATATAACTTTTATGAACTAGTATAATAGTTATACCTATTTAACTAGTTAGTGTTTTAAATGTGCATTACCTGAAGGCAGTTGAGCAGTTGTTGCAAGGAACTCCGACCACAAACAAAACAAAACAGAAAACAAATACATTTTAGTCCAATTCCACGAGACATTTTTCTCCATTATTCCCCAAATATCTCGTGTGAAATTAAAAAAACAAAAATACTGCAAATAGTTTCGCTCGACAAGGAAAAAATTTTAAATTATTTACGGCATATTTCGACTGACCAATTTCCACTCCAAATTAGAAGAAGAAATCAGGATTATTTAATTGACACCACTTGCAGACGATCTGCAAGGTCTCACACGGCAACCGTATCCGCTGTCTTCTGCCACTGCGAAATTGGAATGAAAAAGACATCAGAAGACAACAAAAAAAATGGTTGAGTGGAGGCCTAGAGGCAGACGTGGTGACAAGTTTCAACATCTGGTAAGCATCAACATTCAACATATCTCGCTACTGTCCAGCATCTTTATGGGTTGAGGCAAGTAGAGTTAATGAAAGCTAGAGAAAAAGAAACAAAATCCCACGCCCACACACAAAGGCAGTGATTCCTGTTGGTGTTATCCCCCCTTCCCACAAAAATCACAAAATTTGCTTGGGATTTCCTAGTTTTTTTGACGGAGGAATATCACGGCCGTATCCATTGAACTCCTAAACGACAAAGAATGTTGCGTTGGGCATTTAACCCTATGTTACATTCCACACGAAATAAATAGATAAAAGGAATCACGAAAATTTTGTGTTCACTTAAATATTTTCTCCTTAATCATTTCAGAATTCGAAAAAAAGATGGCAGAAATTTTAAACTTTGAATGTTACGAAAAAATTTTAAACTATTTATATGAATAGGTTAACAATTTTTTATAAACTACGCTTATTTTTACTTAACTTTTGATACCACTGGGAAAAAAAATTCTGAAACTACGCTATCAAATACCTGCCAACTCTTTCCGAAAATTATTTTTCCTAGTGGTAGAAATGTATCAATTGAAAGACAATTTCAAGCAGAAATATATTTTTTATTTTGACAGATTCTAAATACACGATTGCGTAATTATCATGAATTTATTTGTTTAATTTTGCTTAACGCTGTTTTTTCGAAGCTCTGTCGCCAAGAGAAATAAAAAAAGCCATAGTTTAAGTGCCTTACACTTGAAGCAATGCATGCTTGAAGCTGAGCTTTAGAACTGATAAATAACTTAAATATTTTAAAAGTTATTAAACTTCCTAAAAATTGCCGATTTGGCGACATTTTGCCACCTATTTGAAATCATCAAAATCACTGCCGTATTCTCAGTTTTTGCAAATTTTTTAAGCCCAGATAATGCAGTATCGGAATAATATCAATAGCACTGAGGAAAAAAACATATTCTCCAAAAACTGAAACATATCCTGAGTTTCAAAAAGTATTTTTCCTCATGGAAACGATGGTTATGTTCATAGATTTTAATAAGTCAGGGTTAAAAGAGTTTTATCAACTACTACATATCATTTAAATATAAATATAAAAGATTAAATGTGCGATGGATCGTGGTTGAAAATTTAATAAAATTTCTTTAAAATTCTGTTTGTTTTTAAAATCTCTGCTTTAGTTCACTACCAATCAAAAAAAAACTTTCAAGGCTGCCAAACTTTCTACACATTTTATAAAAATTTATTCTAGTGTTAGCTTATTTATGTTTTAATGTATTATTTTTCATTCATTTAAACTTATTTTCCACACCAATACACATGATTTAAAAGTTCATGTGCAACGCCACTTTGTTCCTGATCATTAATGGTGAGACTATAAAAATGTTGGCAAATTTACCAAAAATTATGAAAGATTTGGTTTTTAATTGTCTACCGCTCTATAATATATTTTGCAAAAAACCATAGTAGTTGGCAGGCCTGAATTTTTTGTAAAGTATACGAGATTGCAAATGTTGGCAGCTATGCCGGCAGTTTAACCCCTTAACGCACAGATTTTTTGGAAAAAAAACCGGCCAAAAAAATCTATTTTTTATTTATGTAAAAAAACGCACTTAAGAACGTTGTCTTTTCTTTTGGTGGACAATTTTGATATATTGCGCTTTTATTCCATGGAAAAAGGCTGTAATCAGAGATGCCAACTGCTCCGGACACGCCAAAATAATTTTTTAAAAAACGTTAAATAACTTCTAAGTAATTTTTGCAAGTATTCGACGATTTTTGCTTTATTTTTAAAAGGTAAAGCATGACATAAGAGGCATAAAGTGGTGAATTATATAAGCCTACGAATTATTTAGAAATAGTGGTGGATAAAAATCTACTAAATTGAATTTATTAAACCAAGAATCACAATTGATAAACTACCACTTTAAAATGTATATTTGCTGTCCCGAGCAAGCTGGCATCTCTCATCGTTTGTTGTTGGTACGAACCATTCTTTTTTTAAAATATTTACTTTTCTGGTAGTTCTTTTTAGTACACGGCCCCAATGCAACATCATTAATACATAATGTAATGTTTATATCATTAATATAATGTTTATATCATTAATACATTGCTCCCGCTAATTCAAGCCATATAAAAAGTTATTTGTGCTACCACTTTGTTTTTTATTTGAAAGAAATGGTTATTATATTAAATATGTTATACAACATCTCTAATTGCTAATAAATACTATGTCAAATACAAATTATTCTTTAAAAAAGTAACTAAACTACAACGACATTCTTACAAATGTAATTAATAAACACTAACTTGCCCAAGGAAGTCATTTTTCACTGCTTTTTCATATGCACAAAATGTACAAATAATGGTGCATAAATTATTTTTTTTCTAAGAGAAGTAAATTTTGCTATTGTTAATATTTACTTGTTATATAACTGTAAATAATAAAAAAAATATTGAAATTTAATTAAACAAATTTCTTTACACATTAGTCATTCTTTCACAATGACTAGCTATTCTTTTACACTGACTAGTTATTCTCTCATATTTTGACTGCTTTTGGGCAATATAGTTTCAGTCTTTCAAGTGTTAGCTACAATTACTTTTTTTAAATGTAATGACAACCAACTACTTTGTATTAACTACTTCACTACTTTAACCCTTTCGCGCCGACTGTCACAAATACGTGCCAGCATAAAATCGTATCAACCAGGGTAAAAAGATGAAACTGGTAATCAAAGTAATTTCTTAGCAGTTTATTTGTGGGCGGAGTTATAATTGTTTGATTTATTTAATTCACCATTACTTTGTTATCCCGAAAAAAAAATTTCTTTGAATTTGATCATCATTTAACCTTCAAATTTTTATGCCTTTCTCGAAAGCGAATATTTAACTTAAAAAATGCTAAATTATCAAGTATGTACTTGCAATTTTTTAATTGCTTAAAGCTCTTTTATTTCCTCTAAGAAATTAAGTATACTTCGAAATTACGTTCCCTTCTTTTGAAATAACCACGGTGTTTCACGAGTGTAGTGCATCAGCATGTGAAAGTGTTACCAAAGTGTTCTTTCATAATGGCTAGTTTAAATAATAGTTATACGTGATTTCTAAATACGTAATTACTGTTAACCCTCAGCTTGCTGCCATTGAATCATTTTCATTGCATCCATTGTCGGACCCGTCAAGATTTGTACCTATCAAATTCAAAACATTAGTTGGGTTAGAGCCGTTTTACTGCTCTTAACTAACGTTAAAAGTAGTAGCTAGAAATCGCTACGAACTACTGTTTTTTTGTAACGCACTACTCACTACACTACTTTTTTTAAAAAAAAAAAAAAGTAGCACGCTACACTACAAACTACGAAAAAAAGTAGCGACTGCAGTAGTTTAACTACTTGTAGAGTTCTACCACTGCACTGGGGAATTTTTTTCTTCATGTCATTTTTGTAACGTTTCTTTGATATTATCGTGTCAGTGATTTCAAATCTGCAATCGGTTTCTTTCTGCTAACTACAGTATTAATGCGAGTCAATATAATATTTATAGCCATGATTTTTTAAATTCAATCAAGTGAATACTAAATGTCCCTAATTCTCTCTGCTACGTAGGAAGTGGCTGGAAGAAGGGGACAGTTTATGATGCGATACATTAAAGTCATATGTTTTTTTGTCCCAAGTGTTATTTTCAAGGAGAGATGGTTGATCGTGTAAAGCTAAGCACAGATGGCGCTAGGAGTCGAAATTCGTTGTAAGACTTCCGGGTTACTACTTCCGATTGATTTCAACGCTTTAGCACGTCATCCAATGTTATTATTAAGGCCCGGATTTTGATGACATTTGCATTTTTATGCATTTTTTGCATTTTTGGACATTTTTTGTCTTTTAGAGCATTTTTTTAGATTTTTTAGGGTATTTTTCTTTAAATTTCGGGGCGTATTTTGCATTTTAATGCATTTTTTAAAGTTTTTTTGTTAATTTTTTCCAATTTTTACTATTTTTTATCAATTTTCATTATTACACTGGCTTCCAAACAATAAAGAAAATCTATAGAATATTAACAGCTGAAGCAAAATCTTTTCAAATTGAAGAAGAATTGTAAGTAAGTGAGACCGTCTTTTTCAAGTATGCACCTATAACATCAGTAGACGTTGAAAGAAGCTTCTGCAGGAATGAAAATTTACTTTCAGACAAGAGACGCTCGTTTACATTTCAAATTATCAAAAAACATTTAATAATCCAATGTAATTCTGATATTTAGTAATATTATGAGATGGAAGTTGTTATATCCATTAAAGTTTCTATAC